ACCCTGCCCTCAGTGACAACGTCAGTGCCTCCCCTCTAGGCTCGGAAGCAACACGTCCACCCAATGTGACTGCCTCGTTTCTGGCCATGCACCTTCTAATGGAAACATCCCTGAATGGTGTTAAGATTAATACTGCACAACAGGTGGGGTGGGGCCTGGACAGTCCTGAAATCGTGGGGTGTCAGAGCTTGAAGACACCCCCTATGTTGGATCACCCAGTACTCTCAACACACGTTCCTGCGGCAACACAGTGTCAGGACCCCGATAAGAAAGGGGCGTCAACGCCTGGCTCTGCCACCGCCAGCTGTGGCTCTGAGCGAGTCACCCAGCTCGTGCAAGCACCAGCTTCTCTAGCTGCAAGATGAAAATAATTCTACTTGCATTAACTTGACCACAAGAAACGAATGCCCAACCAATAACTAAGAAAGCAAAGACGTTTAAGTGCCCCACATCACAGGAAGTCTCAGGTGGGAGGCTGCAAGGCTTGTTCACCTGCTCAGCTGGGTCCGGATCCTGAGCCGTCCATGCTTTTGGCCTTTCTCTCATGGTCACACAGTGACTGCCATAGCACCAGTCATCACACCCTCATAGGACAGCATCCAAGAAAGATGGATGAATAAAGGAGGCGGCTTTCTCCTCAGGCACTTTCCTCTTGGGAACAAAACCTTTTCCAGCAGCTCCGTCAGACTCCCTCTTACATCTCAGTGGGCAGACCAGGGCCACGTGTCCACCCATTCATACGAACAGCTCATCAGTGACATATCTGGCAAACAGTAGCTGCCTCCTTCGATCCACGAGTTTATCGTTAACTTGTCCCGGGGTTTGAATTGGGTGAGACGTTTGTCATGTAGGGACTTCTTCCTGCCTGCCTTGGGAGGGCCTCATTGAAACCAGCCCCATCTTTGTTAGTTCATTTAGAGCCCATTGGCTTTAAGTCTTCTACTTGGGGCTGATTGAAAGACTCAGGGCTGGAGCAGCTCAGAAGCGGACGCAGCAGACTGCCCGGGCTGAGAACACTCCAGGCCACCTCTCACGGGCATGGTTCAGGAGGAACCTTCCAGAACCTTCTGCCTGGAGTGCTCACGCAGCCTCCTGCCCCCAGGCTGTGAACCTGATGTAACAAGAAGTGCTTACAGCATTGTCATCAAGGGAAGTGGTTGGAACGGGTGCTTTTCATCAGCGTTTCCCGGTGCTCAGTGCAGAGCGCGTTTGTGGCCCAGCAGGAGGAGGACGGAGCCGTCCTTAACGCCGTGGAGCAGAAGCAGCCTCTTCAGGGGTGTCCGCGCTCCTACCTCGGAGCTCGCCAGGGTGTACGGCTGTTGTCAGTTTACGTACTTTGCTTTAAGCACTAAAGACCCTGAATGCTGGGTGCTGTCGCTAGGGCGGGCCTGGCACCGTCACAGCGGCACCCTGCAGGGCTGTCTGCATTTTGGGTTGCACGTTACCATGTCTGGTCTCAGTTGTAAAGTAGTTTCCTGGTAAAGCTCTTAACGCTGTCCCCAGCCTCTTCCCCTGTCCCAGCCTCCATCTGGTGCCGGTGACCAAGCTGGGTCCCGGTCCCGTCCAGTGTGCGTGCGTGCGTGAGTATTCTAGACCACGTGGTAGTCTTTAAAATCCTAACTGCCTCACAAGCTGCATAGAAGCCCACTTTCCCTCTCCCCATTACTCTGTTGGGCGCCCTAGGTCTGATGTACGCATCTCTGTGCCCCGAGCCTATGGCCACCTGAGTTGCAACCCCTGGCTTGAGGCTTGGTCCAGCCGCTAAGCTGGAAACGCTGACGGCGCCCAGAGGAATGGCGTTTCCCCAGCCCTGGTGGTGTCTCCTGCCTGCAGCCCAAAGGTCCCTGAGCCTGTCCCCGCCTGGGCTTGGAGGTGGGAGACGCGGCCTGGTCCTCCGCCCCGTCGCCTCACCTCGGGAGTGGGCGTCACACGCGGACACCGCCATGTCTTTGAGATAGCAGACAAGGAGGGGAGGCGAGGAGAGCCTCATGGGGGGCTCACGGCGTTGACGTGGTGCTCAGCTGTGTCCCCTTTCTGTCCCCAGCCGCACTGTTGCCATGGAGATGAGTACCACACTGAGAGCAGCCGGGGGTCCGACCTCTCGGACATCATGGAAGAGGACGAGGAGGAGCTGTGCTCGGAGATGCAGCTGGACGAGGGGGGCAGGCGGCGGCCCAGCGGCACCTCCCACAGTGCCCTCAAGGTCAGTGGCTGGGACGCCGGCTCCTGGCGTCACGCTGTCCCTTTGCTGGGGTTGTGGAGGCTACGCCCTGACCCTGGAGCCCACAGATCTGGATCGGCTGCTTTCTTGCCATTGAATTTGCGTCCGGAATTCCGTCCTTCTGGTCCCTCCTCTTTGTCAAAAAGTCTGGGTGAAGGAGTTCGGGGGAACCCGTTCGGCACCCTCCGGGGGCATCCAGCTCTGCACCAGGAGTAGAATTGGGATGAATTGAGCAATGGAGACCCCCGCACTCCACACCCAGCCTTAAGTGCTCATCCCCAGAGACTCAGCAGCTAGGAGAGTAGGACCCAGCCTGAGTCAGAACTGGGGATCCCCCACTTGGGGCCGGCTGGGGTGCTTGTGAAAAGACCCCACAGGAGGAAGGGACTGAGGTGGCCCTGCACTGCTGGAGGGCGCAAGGGAGGAGCAGGAGAGGGACAGGGCGGGGGGCAGCCGAGGCCAGAGGAGGGCCATCCTGGGAACTGTGGGGTCCACACACCTCCCACCAGAGACCCGGCGTCCTCTGCATCTCCACCTCTGGGCTGGCCGTCAGCGGGTTCAATGGGCGGTCACAGCAGTGGGAACTGGGCCCAGTGAGAGGCTGGCCCCCGATGTGCATCCCATGTCCTTGTCCCTTTTCTGCCACTGCTGCTGCTGGCTCTGAGGCTCCGGCATTCATTCACTGCACTGGGCAGCACACACTGGTTGCCTCTGTGCACCAGGCACCGCGCTTGGCTCGGGTCATGAGGATGGACATGACCCCCGCCGCAGCCCTCCCTAACCTAATGGGGGGACAGACAAAGGCTGGACACCTGCCGTAGGACCTTTGTGGGGTTTCTGAATGAAGAGGTTTTGGAGCAGAGACTTGTACTGGGCGTGGAGCGCCGACTGAGGCATTTCTCTAGGAACCCTGGGTCATGCATTTTGAATGGACAGAGGCAACACCCAAATCTGGCGGCCAGCCCAGCGCCTCCTTGCATAGAAGGACTGACTGAGGGTCTCCCGCAAAGGGCTGGGCCGCAGAGCATGCCAGGTCCCCATGCAGGCCCCGCACCATGCAGCTGCTGCTACTCCCGCTGGCCCCTTGCCCCCTGCCCCCGCCAGCTCCCAGACCCACCCCGTCCCGTCCAGCAGGGCTCACAGTGGCCTTTCCTGATGGGGGGGCCCCAAGCTGCCCCGTGGGGAGTCCAGTCTGATCTCCCCCAGGACTCCCCAGTGCTCATAGCTGGGCCATTTTTTCCTATTCTCCACGATGTCTCCTTTTTGGTGCAGGAAGTTCCTGAGCTGGTGCTTCCTGAGAATTGTTGAGCAAAGAAATGAAAGGTCACCTTCTCTCCTGGGGAGGATGCCCAGAGGGCAAGCAAGGCTGTCATAAACCCCTACAGCCATGTCCCACTCCCACAAGCACAGCCCCACCCCCTAGGAGATGACAGTTGGCAGGCAGTGGGGTCACTGACATTGCAGGAAGTGGTGAGGACATGGCAGGAAGTGGTGAGGACATGGCAGGAAGTGGGGCTGCTGACATGGCAGGAAGTGGTGAGAACAAGGCAGGAAGTGGTGAGAACAAGGCAGGAAGTGGTGAGGACAATGCAGGAAGTGGTGAGGACATGGCAGGAAGTGGGGCCAATCACAGTTGCCGGATCACGTGTTTGTCCACACCGTTCTGATGTTTTTGAAGAATCAGGCAATTTCACAGGCTGATCTGGACATCCGGCTTCTCTAGGAATTCCCAGACAGGGTTTGGGACCTGGCGCACTGGGCTCACTGTCCCACCTGGCTACAGTGAGCTGTAGCTGAGTCCGTTTCTTGGTGGGAAGGGTCCAGTTGCTCCGCACGTTCGCGGCCTGACCCTGGGAACCTCCTGGCTGCACCCATAGGTCTTCTTTGCCCTGAGAATGTCCCTCATTTGCTCGCAGGATAGCCCTCACTCTCAGCCGGCTTAGTACAGGCTCATCCACATCCTCACCTGGCACTCAGTGGGTTCCATGCGCATGGCAGACCCCACTAGGTAAACCTGCCATGGTCCCTGTGCTCACACAGCCTGCAGGTTGGTGGGGGACAGGCGTTGAATGAGCACCCGGGGAGGCGATGAGAGGAAAAGTGGGGGCACGTCTGACGTGGAGAATCGGCCCCCTGGGGGCCCTTTAGCGGGAGTGGATGCCAAGCTAGGGACGAGCTGGGCAAGAATGTGCCCACGTGCAGTGCACATCCCCTCCCGTTCACTAGGCAGCTCCTGGGTGTGCCAGCTGCATGCCCAGGACAGCCGGACCACGGCTCTCCACTCGGGCCTTGAAGTCCAGGACCTGAGGAGGATCAGGCAGACCCCAGGCCCTTGTGGACACGGACGGCCCGACTGTGAAGCAGGCGCTGGTCCCAGAGTGAGGACATGGTGCTGAGTGACAAGGCCCAGATTTTACACACACATTTTAGCCTGGGAGGAAGGTGACAGGGAGAACGGGAAAGATTTCAGCTAAGTGCTAGAAAACGAGCGGAAGTGACGATCACTGTTCTGTGACTTGTGTCAGTCACATCGGCACTTGGCAGCAGGTGCTCCCTGAGATTTGGGGTGGGTGCAGGCTGCAGGCAGTAGGGTTCAGATCCCCTGGCATTCTGGGCACAGCTGTGTCACAGGACCAAGTGCTTAGTCCCTGCCTCCGTGCGCCCCGCCTACCCCCCTCCTTGGTTTAGCTGTGTAGCTTGGTCCAACGACCGCTGGTGTCCACGGGAGGCTCCCTGTGTGCTCCGCCTGGCTCTATCCTTTGGCCAGTTCCCTTGTCACCTCTAGCCCGGCCACAGCTTGCCGCCTGCCCTCCCCCGGTAGCAGCATGCCCAGTCCCTCACTGCCTCCGAGACTAATGCTGTGTTTTCTTTCCCTCCCTCGCCCACCTCATGCTTGGTCGCACACTGTTTTCCGGCCCCTGGTTGTCACGTTCCTCCCGTAGGAGTGCTATAAGAATAGGACCCCCGAAGCTTTCCCGGAGGAGGGCCCCCCCCAGCCCCAGCACAGCACGAGACTGTTCAGTATCCCGGAAGTAGCAGAGGAGGATGCGGAGCACTGTGAATCCGCACACAGACAGGGCTTAGGGTACCCCTCCAGGCCCAGGGGCCAGGGCTCCCGGTTCCCCGCCAAACCCAGGGGCCCCGCGGCCAGCACCCATGCCGAGGACTTCCTTCTTGAAGACAGAGTCTGTCGCTTTGGCCGCTCGGCCACCAGGAGCCCAGACAGCGGCCTGGACTGTGGGAGTGAAGAGGAAGAACTGCGGTTTAGCTTCCGGAACACGGCCGCCCAGAGCAGCCCGGGCCCCGGGCCCTGCCCCTGTCGGAGCCTGAGGCCCCTGTTGGCCCGGCGGCGGACACTGACCCGGCAGAGCAGCATCGAAGAGGACTTTGGGGAGCAGGTGGACCCTGGTGATGTCATCAGGAGCGATGACGCCCACCGGAGCCCGGAGAGCCCCGCCCCCCGGAAATACGGCTGGGACGAGCCCGCGGGTCCGGAGGACTTCCGGGACGCCTGGAAGAAAAGCACAAAAGCGCCCGACAGTAGGGCGCCTGCCCAACGCGCACAGGCGCCTCCCCGCGTGGCAGAAGGCCGTGTGGTGTGTGCCGTCACCCCTCACCTGCTTGCACACCAATCCGTTTCCATCCCTTCATTCTATGTGCTTATTTTGGGTGCGTCCCCGGGGACTCTGCTGGCTCTTTAGTTTCCATGCAACTTTGATTTCCTGGGTCCCATTGCCTCCCCACCTTTTGGCCATGCTGGGGAACTCTTTACTTTGCTGTAGAACGATGACCACCCCCACCTCCCAATCAGCGATGGTTACGGCTCTGTAATTAAAGGACAACTGAATCTAAATTTTAATTAAGGGTTAGCTGAACTGTGATCATCCAAAAGTTTGGCAACACATATGTTTTCAAAACGAACCGTGGGGACTGACAGGTGACTCCGGTATTCCTGAGGGTTTTCTTCTTCCCGTGGCTTTGGTTTTTGTTGTTCCAGTTGTCGTTTTTGGCTTTCATCCATAATTGAAAAAAATGGAGAACAACTATTGAAGAGATCCATTTTTGCATATTTCCAGTTTCTTTTTTCCTTCATCCAGTTTTCAGAATGCATTTTCCATCACCGCCTCTAGACACCCCTCCCCCGCTTGCCTGTCTTCCAGGCTGGTTAGTGGTTTCAGGAGGAGGCAGTCACTCAAGGCTTCACTCGTGTCTGTAGTGCGTCCTCTTTCCAGAACCTTCGCCCCCCTCACGCTGACCTTTCAGCGCACACGCAGGCGGAGGCTGAGCCCTGCAGTCTGTGATCTGCCCACTGGGGGGCGCCGATCCCACACCGCCTGTTCCTGGAACCCGAAGCGAAGCACTGTTCTTCCCTGGGTCCCTGCAACCTCCGACTCCGATTACTTCCCAGTGAGCTGGAGGTTGTGGTTTATTCTCCGAAATGATTCTACCCCTCGTGCCAGTTAGAGGCGCGCGTCATACGAAAACATTCAGGTTAGCCCTGAACGTGACGTGTCTTCAGGTTAGGGCCAGAAGTTGCCCTGAGTTTCAGACACACAGAAACTTCTGTCTTAGAATTTTCAGTAACCTCACCTACTCTGTGTCAGCTCTGTGTCAGCGTGACGTGGCAATGAAGCGTTTTCCCACTTTTGTGGTCGTTGGAGGAAGACAGGCTGTGTGGACACGAGGTCAGGGCGGTACGTGGTCAGAGGCGCCGGCGGGCTGATGAGTTGTATTTAAGCCATGCTCACTTTGGGGCGGAACATCCGGCTTCTGCCGCAGTAGCAGTGACACAGCTGCCTCTTGAGGAATTCTCTTGACCCCACCCCCACCCATGTGCGAAAAGCAACTCTGATGGGGTGCCTGGGCGAGCAGCCTTCCTCTCCAGGCCATTCAGCTAACCTTTCAGTTAAAAGCTAAGTTTAGTTGCCTTTACAGCTTCTGCTTCTAAGTTGGATTGATTTGGCTAATTTAATTCTTCTGTTCCCACTGCTGGCAAGACTCACGACTCTGTTGTTTTGTCGTTAGATTTTAGGAAACCCAGCGTCTGCAGGACGGGCTGACAGGGCAGACCACGCGGGCCGGCGGTTTCCCCACGGCAGTGCTGGCACGCAGAGGTCCCGGCCGATGATGGTCCCGGCCATTGGTTAGTGGGCCTGTTGACGCCTTTCTCTTTCTTTCAACCACAGAGCACATGGCTGCTTAGTTCTCGGTCTGAACATTTAAAAAAATTAGTGGGAATAGCATTTTCATCTAAATACAGATACCCCACGGTGACGTATAGCAAAAAGATGGCAGAAGCAGCACAAGGTAAATGAAATCTATTTGTAAGTGTTCTCAGAATATCGTACTGACTTTTTACGTGAGTCTTCTCCTGGCCACTTGTCACTGGAGAGTGCGTGCGTGTCCTCCTGTCCTGGGTCACGTTCTCATGTGGTACAATGCGCATGGTCAAAGCAGCAGCAGGGATGGTGGCCAGACTCCACATGGCTCCCTGAGCCCCGAGCACGGAGGGTTGCCTGTGTGCACAAGACACTTTGGCAGCTGGTCCTACAGGTTACAGAACACACAAGGCCTGAGAGTGCATGCTGCCCATCCATCTGGTCACCTCCTCCCTCCTGCGTCATCACCTGGCGTTCCCTTTCCACCCATTACCTTTGGGGTGGGGGGCACGGGGGAGACGGGATTCAGCCATTGTGCTGAAGCTGTCACTTTGCTCATTCTAACCAATTTGCTAAGAGGGGGTGTGGCTGAAGGTCCGAGGGGAACACGTCTGTTCCTGGAATGAATTAGGCAAAACAAGCCCTAAAGTGTTATGCACAGGATCATGGAGCCTGGTCACCAGACAAACCAACCAACAACTTTTTTGTCTTACACACACACACCCCCATACACACCACACACAGACACAGACACACAGAGACACACACACACACACACACACACACACACAGACACACACACCCCCATACACACCAACACCACACACAGACACAGAGACACACAGACACACACAGACACACACACAGACACACAGAGACACACATACACGGGCAACAAAGGGAGGAGGACTGTGGGTAAACGGTCGATGAGAGCAAACCATCTCTAGTCGCTGTGCTCACTGAAAACCACTTCTGCACAGTCTGGCGCCTGAAATGCAAGCCCAGTCGCATCCAAACAGCTGAAGTCCCAAGACAAGTGGTCTTCTTTCAGGTCAACTCAAAAGGAAGACTTTGTAACGCAAGCGCGACCCGCTCACTGTCCCCGCTCCAGGATTTCCTGCCTCGCACAGTCCAAACAGCAGGCAAAGACTTTCCTTTTCCGTCTGTACAGGGTTTTTATTTTTACTCGTAAAAATCTCATGGTATGTTAAAGATCCTTAACAAAAAAGTGACAAAATCTGCGCAGACTAGAAGAGCAGCGATCTTGCCTCTTACAGACTTACTGGCAGTGTAACAGCTATGCTGAGCCTTGGCGCCTTTCGAGTGTCCTAAATCTAGGGCTCCACTTCGCGACTCTTCATTTAATCTGTGCACAGTCCCCTCCGTGCCACCCACAGAGCCGAACTGGGTTCTTCTGGCTCATAAAATACGTCGCTCGCTGGAGGCTGACTGTCTCCAGAAACAAGGTGCGGGCAAGGCCATCCCGTGTTCAAGGCTGTTATTCCTTTGCCATTGAACTTGGCTCCTGAGTCTCCAGGATACTGTAACTTCAATGAGTGAAGACTGCAAGTGTCACTCAGAAAATGAATGGCCGCTTTCATGTAGCTGAGCAGTTAACGTCCCGGGCACTTAGAAAGGGTGTCCTTGGAGGAGGTATGACGGGTCTCCCACTCCAGTCTCCTCGGACAGAGAACGAAAGGTTCCAGGACTGAAAAATTGGGGTGCTACCACTTGCCAGCTGAACAAGGAGGCAAAGGGAAAAAACGCCAGTGCACCCAGTCTTGCCAGGTGCCCCTCATCATCAGACTGTGACAGTCCTTTGGTTGGATTTGTCCCAAAGGAAAGAATTCAAAGGGCTGCACTCATGTCTTCATTTCAGAAAGGCACGTGTTAAATTCGTAGAAAGAGGGGAATGCTATGTTAACCCCTTAATAACAACAAAAAGGCCTCTAAACAACGTACCTCACAAAAAGTACTGAATAAACCCGTGAGCCTGGCTTTCGTTTACCTGACTTCTCATCGTGTAGCCACACGAGAAGCACAGTGACCACCACACACCTTACCTGTCATGCACTTAACCCTGTTGGATTTTCAGAAGCGCGAAACGTGCTCAGCAGCCACCAGGGGACCCAGCCAGTGACTCCGGGGAGCGCGGGCCGGGACGTGCACACAGACCGTTTCCCGCTCGCTCCTGTTTCCTTGGTTCTATTTTTCTTGTATAAATATCAGTCATTACTATTTTAGAAATCTCCTGCACTCCAAAAACATCTGTTTTTTTTTCCAGAGGAACTTAGATCTGTACATTGTGTACTTCCCAAATATACTTCAATAAGTGATGCATTCACAATAATAAGAATATTATAATTTCAATATTTTTAATATTCTGTTTCCTAAATTTAAAAAAATGCCCTTTCTGATTTAAAAACAAACTTACAAAGCTCCAAGTCTAATAAATTCTAAATCATATAATGAATGCGAGGGAGCTCCCAACGTGACGGGTGTCCCCTAAGGACACTTAATCGGGTCCAGCTTCCTCCTTTATACATGTGGCTCCGTGCATTTATCTATTTATCTGTCGGATGAAAGGCCTGAGGGTCCATGCCTCTAAAAATGAAGTACGCGCTCCGGAGGCTCCCCTTCGCACTACTGGACTGTGACCATCTCTCTTTGGTCCTGTGCCCCCTGGGACGCTTGGCCATAGAGCAGGGAGATACCACACACATTTCCATGTCCAGGGAGGACGGCCTGAGATCCAGTCACCGGAGAAACACAGCCTGGGCCTGGGGAAAGGTGAGGTCTTTTCCTGGGTTTTCTGCAAGAAGAAAGTGAAAAGCTGTGAAGTCTGTGTCATAGCTAATGCCCCCTTTCTCTGTAGACGTTACCGCGGACAGTCACGGTGAGGTGTCGGGTCGGTCAGGCAGTCAGGAACTGCGTCACCATAGAAGAGGATGCTCATTGTGACTGGCTGGCGGGACTCGGCAGCACCGGGCGGCCGCTATGAATGAGACCTAGGCTCGGGGAAGATGTGAAGGAGGCCCGTTCCCTCGCAGAAGTTCATTTACTGACGTTTTTAGATTTTCTAGGCATCCCAAAAAAGATCCTGAATTTAAACAACATAAATAGTTCGCTGCATTTAAAAAAAAAAACCATCAACCTCCCCTGCAATTGACGTGCTTTTTATTTTTCAACTAAATGTTTCTGTGGGTGAGAGCAGCTTAGTGGCTGGGCTTTCTCCGTCAGCCCTCTGCCTTTCCACAACACCTGTGACGTCCTCGCACCCCACCGCCTGTGTTCTGTGCTGGTGACAAAAGCCCTGATTGGCTGCTTGTCCCTGGTGACTGGAGCTTTCCTCATGTGCTTCGCTGAGCGGGGCTGTGTTGTCTGTGGCCAGATAACCCATATTCTCTCCCCTCCTCCCTCTGTACTCGCACACACTCACGTGTATGACGGTGCCTAAGGACACGTGCGTGTCTGTAATGACGCCTAATAGCACCTGTGCGCACATATTGGGCTGTCGGAAAAGTCATGACATATTTTTCCTATGCTTTTTGTTGCAAAAATGCATCATGACTTTCCCGACAACCCAATATTATCATTTCAAAAAGGATGATTTTTAGAAGCTGGCCGGTAGGTGCAGCCGAAACGCACCTCTGCCAGGAAGTCATTAATTGACACTCGTGAAGAATGCACTTGTTGCCACGTAAATATCTAGAGCTGAGTGAAGAGCGAGGTTACCTGTCACACGGACTGATACACAGACGCATTTAAACCTGACACGTGCGCCTGGCGTGGAGACGTGTCTGTGCATGGCCTGTCCGGTGTGGCCGCTGTGCGGACCCCGACACGCCCCCCGGGCGCTCAGGGCTGCTGTCCCTGAGGTCACTCGGTCCTCCCAGCATCTTCACATGCGGTGTTTTATGACAGGTGTTTGCTTCTCAAAGTCACGTTGAGGAGAGGGTCTGGGCCTGCCCACGTGTTCAACTGCACGGTTTCAGGAGACACTCAAGTGTTGCAGCCACCCCCGCCCCTCCCCAAACCCTGTTCACTGAACGGGGCGCTGCAGGAATGACCTAGCACTGTGTCCTTTGTCCCTATGCTCCCAGATGAGTACGGCCGAGACCGGCTGTCCCCGGACTTCTACGAGGAGTCAGAGACGGACCCCGGAGCCGAGGAGCCTGTGGCGCGAGTCTTCGTGGCCCTCTTTGACTACGACCCTCTCAGCATGTCCCCCAACCCTGACGCTGCAGACGAGGAGCTGCCCTTTAAAGAGGGGCAGATCATCAAGGTGGGGGCCGGTGGGAGGCCGAGGCCGCTCAGGGAGGGGACGGAGGCTGCTCACCTTAGGCCTCAGCACAGCAGCCTCCAGTGGTTCGCGGGATGAGAGCCTGTGAGATGAGAGCCAGGCTGACGCTCGAGGAGGCGGGAACGGGCCTGGGTCCCAAATGGGAGTGTCCCGAAGGGCGGCGACAGCTGGCACTGGACAGCGGTGAGATCACAGCCGTCCTGTCTGATAGTGAGCACCTGTCAAGGACACAGGTGCTCCCGACAGTGATCCTGGGGTCCCTGCCAGCCAAGAGTTCTAACTCCAGAGTGCCCGGCACAGGACACTGTCTCCCTATGGAGGGACGTGCAGTGGACACCCCTGGGGGGCGGGGTCTTGGCACCAACGCTTTTAATTGTGCAAATTCACACACATGCCCATCAGAGCACGGCCACTGCCTCAACTGGCAGCCCTGACATGACATGATGGGAGGCCCAGTGGTGTCTGAACCTGGAGGGGAGGCTGGTGGCGAGGGCACGTGCACGTCCAGTGATGCCTAGTGGTGTCTGGGTGACCAATGGCATTAGGCACTGTCCTTGCCAGGCAGGACTGCACCGTGAGCAGAGCTGCTGTATTTCTGAAGCAGCCAGTCACAGGCCCCAACTTCTTTCCACGGCTCTAGGTTTACGGCGACAAAGATGCAGATGGCTTCTACCGTGGGGAGACCTGTGCCCGGCTCGGCCTCATCCCCTGTAACATGGTCTCTGAGATCCAAGCTGACGACGAGGAGATGATAGACCAGCTTCTCAGACAGGGCTTCCTCCCTCTCAACACGCCTGTGGAGAAAATAGGTGAGACACAGCCCCTGCTCTCTCCAAACCCGCTGGCGGGCTGTCGCCAGGTACGTCACAGCACAGACTGCAGCTCAGGGCATGGGCTGCGCTGGGCACCGCCCAGTCTGTGCCCCATGAACGTGCCAGAGGGACTCAAAAACCAAATACTCCATAAAGCAGGGTTGTGACAGTCCAGCATGTTCTGCACATGCGTGCCCCTAAACATGCGTGACACGCAGATGGCCTTCTGATGGGAGACAGCACAGCCTTGCTCATCAGCCCGGCTCACCTGGAAAACACACACCTCTCTCTGGTGGTTTGGGACTGAAGGTCCACGTCCCCCAAATTCATGTGCTGAGATCTGACGCCCCAAGGTGATGGTGTCAGGAGGTGGGGCCTTTACGAGGTGATGGGTCATGGGGGAGCCCCTGTGAATGGGATCAGTGTCCTAATGAAAGGGACCCCAGGGAGCCCCCTCACCCCTTCCGCCATGTGAGGACCCAGGGAGCAGGTCCCCACCGGATACGCAGTCTTTCTACAGCGTTACACGGACCATCTTTCATTCTTCCCACGTGCAAGGAACATCTGCTCGTTAAAAAGCTCTGTCCTTTTTCTGAATCTTGGGAGACAGATCAGTTCTATGTCATTCATATTTAAGGTTTTAATTAATGCTGGAAAACATTAGATTAACTTCTAAATCAGACTTCAAAGACAAAATAAAGTGGTTCAAAGGATATGCATAATTTTAAGGATAATCACAAAAATGAAATGTTTTAGCCTTTTTCGTATTAATGAACTCGCTGTCTCAAGTTGAAGCCCACATCTGACAGCTGAGGTTTCACGGGAGTCCTTTGCCCACACAGAGCCCACGACACTGAGCTCTGAGCCCGACCTGCCGGCTCCCTCTGCCGGCTGCTCTCAGCCTGAAGCCCACAGGCATTCAGAGAGGGGACAGGCTCCGTGACCACAGACCCAGAGGCCTGGAAGCCATCTGCTGAAAAGCAGGAACTGGATTGACGCTGCCAAGTGGATTCGCTGTCCCTCTGGTTCATCTTTCTAAATGTGCTTCGTCGAGAGGGCCAGCAGAGACGTCTCCTTGCCCTTCTGCCACTGGGAAGCGTCACACTCGGGGCTCAGAAAGTAGAGCTTGACATCCCCACACCCCCACCCGCCAAGGCCTGGAGTAGGGCACCTTGTCTGCCCTCACCACTCCTTCCCAGCCTTGTGCTGAAGCTCCTGACCGGTGCGTGGAGAGAGAGGAGGAAACATTATCCACAGCGGAAAGGAAGAAACGAAACATCCTCTGTTCACAGACGACATGAAAATCTACTTAGAAAATCTCAAAGAATCTATAACAGAGTTTAGCAAGGTCCGTGGATGCAAAAGCAATTGTCTGTCCATATGTTAGGGGTGAAAGCTTGAAACTCAAATGTAGACAGTGCTATCATCTCCAATAACAACAACACACGAACGACTTGGGCTTAAATCTAACAAAATACAGGCAGGGTCTGTACACTGAAAACTACAAAACGCTGCTGCGATCAATCACAGAATTCCTAAATAAACAGAGATATTATGTTCACGGATTTACTGTTGTTAAGATGTCAGATGGGTGCAGACCCAGAGGAAATCGGGGCAGGAGTGCCCGTGGGACCAGGACGCCAACTCTCAGATGGCATGACAGGCAGAGGGACGAGAATCAGCACAACAATCTCTAAAGAACAAAACCTGGGTTTGCGAGTTCCTATCGCTTAGTCCTAAATGAACCACGACAAACAGGATTGGAGAGAGGACCACGGACAGTCATGGGACAGACAGCACTTCTCAGTGAACGGACTTCAGCAAAGGGAAGCGGGATTCAGTGGAGGACCAGCCGCAGCTGCTGACACCCAGATGCCAAAAACGAACCTCAGGCCACCCTCCCACCATATTAAAAAAAATCTCAAAATGGAACACTGTCTTAAATATAAAAACGAAGACTATAAAACTTCTAGAAGAAAACATAGATGAAAACTGTGTGATGATCAGACGATTTCTTTGATAAGGCACTAAAACCATGATGCATAAAAGAAAAAAAACAAACCCAATGTTGGATTTCATCAAAATGAAATACTCCTGAGCTTAGAAAGCTACCACGAAGAGCATGAAAGGAGGAGCCACGGGCAGGAACTAAACTCTGCCAGGCCCGCCACTGAAGAGGGACTTGTACCTGGAACACGCAGATAGCTATCTTCACCACGCAACCGGCAGTGGAACGACCCCCTAACAGGCCGGACAGGGGGTCTGAAGAGCCCCTTCGCCAGAGAAGACGCGTGGATGGTAAATAAGCATCCGGAAGATGCTTCGCCTCATTAGGGAAATACCGATGGAACTGATGGGAACCCACACCCCCGCCCCCCCCGGGCTGGGCGTACTCTCATGAAGTCAAACACACAGGACTACCCAGCAATCCCAGAGACGTGGGAGCTTCATGTAGAAAGCTGTCCGTGAGTGTTTATGGCAGCTTGACTCAGGGGAGTCGCTGATACCGGGCACAGCCCACGCCGTTCGCCTACTGGTGACGCAGGAAACCATCGGGGGGGGGGGGGGCGCGTCCGTACGACGGCATCCTACTCACTGGTGAAGACGGCACGAACGGCTGGCAGATGCCACCCCACCAACGGGCCCAGATGCGTCCTCCAAAGGAGACAAGCCAGTCTCTATAAATGCTTCCTTCTGCCCGATTCCACTTGAACCATGTTCTGGAAGTGGCCAAAGTACTGGGACAGAAGACAGGTCACTGGTCACGGGGGCTGGAGGGGACAGTGAAGGGGCATGGCGGAATGTGGGGGTGACGGGACTCTCCTGGATGGTCGTGCTGGCCATGTGACCGTGGGGCTGATCAGACCCTACAGAAGTGCACACCAACAGGAGTGGCTTTGCGTGCAGTAAAGAGAGCGTATGTGGCCACTGCCCGCTCCCGGAGGTCAGACTTGTCCCATCCCCTGTGAAATGAACAAGCGCAGAGCCGTGTGCGAACCCTCTGGGGACAGTCTGCTTCGTGAGGGCGGCCTGCCAGGTCCTAGAAGGTGTGCTTATTCTGAATTAGGGCAAAACACAGGCACGTGGGCTCAGGCCACTCGCTGCGCCACAGGGGCGGGCTGTGCTGTCGCCAGGGCCCAAACACGGGACCCGGGAGGGGGCTTGTCTGGTCCCAGCGCCCACAGAGACAAGGAAGGGCCACTGCCTCTGCGGCGACTTCATGATGGCTCTCTCCTCCCCATGGTGTGAACAGAGAGGACCAGGAGGAGCGGCCGTCGGCCATCGGTGTGCACGCGCAGGATGGTGGCGCTGTACGACTACGACCCGAGGGAGAGCTCGCCCAACATCGACGTCCAGGTACGGCCAGCCGCCCGCTCTGCGGACACGACCACACCCTGTGCCTTCGTCCCCAGCGCTCCTGTACACCACGCTTAAGCCACCTGACCCAGCCTCGCCTCCTTCTCAGGGACGGGCCGTGGGCGGGGGGATTCGGGGGGCACTCCAGGACCAGTAAACGGCCGGCAGAGAGCTGGGGGCAGCCTACCGACGTACTGTGGGCGCAGCAGGCATGTGGCCAGGGTCCCCTATGGTGGTGGCCCAATAGCTTCGCCCTGAAGAGAGGACTAAAAGCCCCACTGCCCAGGGGACAGGCAAAGCAGGAAGGACCCCTGAGCTGTAGGTGGGGTGGGGAGAGGAGGCTGTGTGCCTGTGTCACACCTGCCACACCTGCCAGGGCTCAGCAGCCTCGCGCACAGGGCCCCGGGAGGCTGTGCCTCAGGAATGAAGGGTGGGTTTGCACCCGGGGCCACATTCTTAGAGGGCAGTGCTGCCCGGATGGTGGTGCCCAGCGCCCCTGTGACCCGACAGGCACCCGCCCCCCGCCCCCAGTCCTGTACCGGCTGGCCCCGAGACACACGCCTCTGTCCCTCATGTTCATGTTTAGAGAGCAAACTGCATTTTTTTTGCTCCCTCTGCTAGATTTATCTGCCCGTCTCGAGCCTGGAGCCCGGCCCACAGTGGGCACGTAAACAGACATTTAATGAGCAAAGGTTTTTACACTCAGCGAGAGGAGGGTTACGTGCTGGCCCTCATGCTGTGGGGGACGTGTCCCTCGGGCTCTGGGTTTGGAAGCTGATGGCGGGACCTGGCGGCGGCGCCTTTTTTAAGGGTTGGCCTTATTTTGATGTGTGGCTGCTTTCTAAGAGGCTTTGAACAGAGGCTCTCATTAGCTTTGTACCTTTTTTCCTAATTTGACTGAAAGAATAGGTTAATATCAAAACAATGAGAAAAAAAGAGAAATGATTAGAGAAATCATGATTAAAAAAAAAATACAACTGCTTTGTAAGGGAAAGTACCATTAACTCTATGTTCTATCTACAGGCTGAACTTACATTTTGCACGGGAGATATTATAACTGTTTTTGGTGAAATTGATGAAGATGGATTTTATTATGTAAGTTTTTGAAACATCAAGAAGCCCCTTTTCATTTATTTTGTGTGTTTGGTCTCGCTGGTCTGTTCGTTCTTTGTGGTGCATGCCCAGGAAGGAGCTGCTGGGCTATATGGTTGCCCCCCTTTGTTTTGTGAGGACCCGCCATGCTGCTTCCCCGTGGCTGCACCAATTCGCACGCCCTCCGAGTGTGCCCGTCTGCCCATGTCTTCACCGCTATCGTGTTACTTCATAAACCGTGTTTTTGGCAGTAGCCATCCCACTGGAGGTGACGTGGTGTCTGGTGGCTTTGAGTTGCGTTGCCTTGAGGGTCAGACGTGTTCTCGTGTGCCTGGTGGCCTCTGGGGAAATGCCTATTCGAGTCCTTTGCCCGTTTTCCTGTGCGGCCTGGATAGTGCCCGTGTCAGACCTCCCTCCATGGGCTCCTTTCCCCGTTGATCGCACCCTTGGGTGCAGTTTTTATTGGGACGTAGGAGGCAGCCTCTCACACTGTCATCTCTACATCTGTGACGAACACAGGACTCCCGTGGTGTCTGGGGCCGACTTTGGACTTGGGTCTGCACACTTGAGGGGCAGGTTAGCAGTGGGGGTGGGAAGAAACGACACAGGGTGTGACTCGCTCGCGTCAGGTGTCCAGTGGGCAGCTGGATCTACTGCTCGTGACCCGCTGTGCATGCAGAGATAGGCAAATGAGCAGAAAGGGCTGGAAGGCTCTGTACCAGCCTGGAGCAGTGATCTCTGAGGAGGGGTCCGCAGAGACTTCATTGTCCCCATGTTGTTTAGTTTCTGTAGTGAGAATGTGACTGTGCGTGAGGGGCTGGGCAGGCCAGTCCGCGGGGTGTGGCCGACGTCGGCCCCCGCCTCGGGGTGCATTGGGTCTGTCTGGGCTGCTGTATCCGAGGGCTCCGCAGGTCCCAGGGCCAAGATGGCCCCGGGGAGGGTTCCCAGATGTCCCCGGTGCTAAGAGTCGCCCCAGCCCGGCCCGCCGCGCTCTGAGCAGGTCACCGAAGGTTTTCTCATGAGCAGGGCAGCCTGGAAACCCTGCAGTCCCTTTGGTCCAGCTGCTTTGGAGCCGGAATAAAGCCCCAGGCATCTCTGCTCCGAGCCGTGTTCTTTTAGCTGAACAAGAAGCTGGTGTTTAGAAACAGTCAATCGCTCTCCTGCCTCATGCCTGTGTTTTAGGGGGAGCTGAATGGGCAGAAAGGCCTCGTCCCCTCCAACTTCCTAGAAGAAGTGCCTGACGACGTCGAAGTGTACCTTTCGGACGCCCCGTCGCACTGCTCACCAGATACGCCGATGCGTCCAAAGGCTAAAAGGGTAAGCAGACGCCTCCAGCGTGTCTAACCCCCACGTGGCCCTGAGCGTCTCCTACAGTGATGGCGTTAAGTTTTCTGTCTTGGGCCGAAAAGCACATACCCGGAATTTTTCCTCTGCCCTTCCATGGGGCCTGTGCCTAAAAATTCGTACTTCTAAACCTTAGTTTATTTATTTCACAAAACGTGACCCTTTCCGTTATAATCAGCCCGCCTGTCCTCGCAAAGGGCCCCCAGCCCACCTGGTAGACGCACATCCCCGCCTGGTGGAGGGAGGGGCGTGGCCAGCCCTTAGGCTCCAGGACAGGAATGGGGGTTCGCCCTGTGGGGGGTTCAGCCCTCTTCACAGAGACCAGAGCGCCCCTCACGCATCCTGAAGGAGGTCACATGCGGTGTAGTGTCTCATTTTTATTTTATTTCATCTTTTATCTATTCTATTTTTATATATATTTTTTTTATTTCTTTGCTCATCTGCTTGGAGACAGAAGAAGAGTGTTCATTTCACACCTTAATCAGGCAGTGTTCCTTCACGTAAGTGAGCAGCCGAGGATACCTATAAAGATACCTCCTTAAGCTACCTTACTGGCTAATGCGGTAGACTTAAAGAAATATGTCTTCACGAAAGCACTGCACTTTGAGTCAGGGTAGCGCTTGGTCTCAGTTGTAAAGCAACTGAGCGTGTAGTGCAGTGACTCGTCTCCCCCAAACCTGTCCTCTCCACAGTGAGGACATTTCGAAGGCCAGCACTGGGGACATATTTCTGACCAGGCTAATTGTTTGTCTGCACAGAGTCGCCCAGGTCTACTTGTGCTTGAAGCTGCATGTTGCATTGTTAGCCCCTCCTGGAAAAAGCACAACCCAATCAAAATGTTTACTGTAGTAAATTTCTTGGCAAAGCATCACTCGTGGTCAGGCCCAGGAGCATGACCACGAGGGGACGAGCTGGCTCTGAGCACCGCACGTGCTGGCGAGTTGACCGCGCGCGTTTTTCTGCAGCGGCCGAGCCTGTCTCGCGAGGGCGCTCAGCGTCTCCTCGAAGCCCCAGCGAGTGCTGTGAGCACAGAGGCTGGTGGAGAGTGGCATGCTGGCTGCCAGTGCTGGACCAGGTTCTGGGGCACGCAGCTCAAACCATCGCATTAGACGGAGTAGCTGGTATCTTCAGGTGGCTTTGGGTGCTTGACAGGTGTTCCCATTAGAGTCGGACCTTGATTTCAAGTCCAAGTCCAAGCCCCTTGCTTCTGTCATTTGCCTGCTGGTAATGAACACTCATGGGGAGTGCAGGTAGGCGGCGGGGGGCACGGCCCCGGGCACTGCTGGGGAGGCACGGCGTGCCGGGACGGACACGCGCCCACTGGCGACACAAGTCCCGCCTCAGTCACTGGGGAATCCTGGCGGCAGCCGCTAAGGGCCCCTTAAGCTTCCTTTGATTGTAATTAAGGTTCATTTTAGTTTTTGTTTTTTTTTTCTTTCGACCGGTGTGCCATCTCCAATGTTTCTAAACCAGGAATGCGCTCGACCACACCAGGGCTCACAGACCCGAGTCGTTTTCAGAGACGACAAAGCCCCCTTTAAGAACGTTCGTTCGCTTTTAAGATTTCTGATGGGTACTCGGCCAATTTTTCTATCGACCTAATTTAAAGTCACTTCCCCCACCCTGCTTTTGGTCTGAGTTGACAGAGTCAGTGGTTACCTAGCTTGTCTTGCCAAAGCACTGGCCAGCCCCTCCCCCGAGGACACAGACCTGGCAAAGCCAGACCCTGTCTCTCAGAGGCGCTGGCACGTTAGCGCTTGGAAGGACGACGCCACCCTTACCCTTCCTGGCGGGCCACGGGCGTGCGGTGTTACCGAGTGGATTGGTGTTGCTGGCGCTCACGCACTCAAACTGTCACACTGTACGTCCCAGGTCCCTCCTGAGGGTGCAGGTACAGCAAGGACAGCGCCGTCCCCCACAGCCCACCTCCATTCGGGGTCACCTGCGTCACCTATGGGTACTGGTAGTCCTGGGAGAGGCAGGGAAGTCTCCTCGAAAAAGAAAAAGGGGCTGCTTTTCAGAGGCAAGAGACTCCTGCAAAAGCTGGGGGCAGCCAAGTGATTCGCGCACCTCCGACAACTTCCGCATCTGTTGTTTTCTTTAGTTCCAAACTAGGGCTTTCACGACACAAGGACTTCCTAAAAACCATGTCCCCCTGACACAGGAGAGAAACGCTCTCCCTCTGCACATCGCTTTACGCCACCTGCCAGGGCAGGGCGGCTGGCACTCTCGCCGGCCTGAGCTCTCCTCGTAATGCCGAGGTCTGCCGGCAGGTGGGGTCTCACGAACAAACGGGGGGGGCCAGTCGCTCCTGGCCTCTCCCCCTCACCTGTGATTCCAGTCTCTGCATTTTTCATCTGCCCTTAAAGGAATGGTTTCCGCCTTGTCCCTGTCCAAAATGCTTCCTCGTCATGCATAACTCACTTTACCTCTGGTCTTGAAATTCCTAGTTTAATGGCCTCGATGAGAATTCTGCCTTATAAATGCACAATGAGCTGTACTGTCTAATAAAGACTTCCGTGTCCACGTGTGTGTGTGCGTTCAGTGCGCTCCATGCTCCCACAGGGTTCAAACCGACTGGCACAGGCTGAGTTTTAAGAGCCTGGCTTGGCATCCTTCACAGCAAGCCAGGCAGCACAGAGAATGTTTACTTACTCAAACCAGTTGAAATAGACGAGAGAAAGTAACCTGGTTTGGGAAACCCCACCCCTCCAACCTGCCAGAGAGCTGGTAACACTCCTGGCTCTGACTGCTGCATTTTGTGGCATGTGGATTTCTGTTCCTTCCATTACCTGTCAAAATGCCATAACAAATACCCAACAATGCGTAGCACACATGAGAATCCATGAGCATAAGCCACCCCAAACACCCCACACCGAGGTCAGATGGCTCCATACCCACTGTCATTGGCACTCGAACAAAAGATTTACAAAGTTGCTGGCAGATGTTTGATGATTACTATTTTGTAATTCTTGTCCACTTGTAAACTCTTTTTATTCTTTATACACACTTTCCAGACTGCCTTTCTTTTGTAATTTATGGAAGGTTTATAAATGAACGACAAATCTTTCCCCATGTGTCTTCAACAATTAGGTTGTGAATTGTACTATAACAATAGTTTGTGGTAGATTAACAAGAGATTACGCGATGTGTGGCTCAGAGCTGTGTGGGTGTGTGCATGTGTACAGTTAGTGCAAAACATTTTATACAAATAAAACTTGTTATTTTGTACAGAGCCGTCTACTCTGTCTTTGTCTAAAACCAAAACCTCTATCAGCAGCATCCTGAGCCCCCTTCTGTCTGCACAAGACAGCCCTGCGGCCCCACCAGTTCTGGCACCACTTTTTCTGACAGTTCTGACCTGTGTTTTGGGAGTCATTTACAAAATGCTTTCACACTGGCATTGCTGGTGACAACCCACTCGGTGGCCAAAAACAAGGTAATGAGCATTGAGTCAGCATTTCTTGTGCATGAGAAACACTCGCGCGCAAGCAGGACTTCGAAAGTGAATTCAGACCATATTTGTGGTGTGTCCCTTTGGTAAGTGACAGTTCAAATGGTATGATCAGAGCTAAGCCAATGCAATGCAGCAGATACGAGCCAACTTCTCAAACGTAAAGACTTTTCCCTACAGGCCTTCATTGTTTTTAAATTTTCTAAAGAACAGGGTTTGTTCTAATAGGAGGTACAATCAACATGCTTGCAGCAAGATGGAAATATAATTCAAGTGCAAAGCTGTGGAACTATGACAGCTGCGGCCTAATGTCATTCACGCTGGGAGAGGTTGTCACCTGCTGCACTTAGAGTGAAGAAGGGGTGACAGAGACGCTCATTTCCATGAGGGACCTAAGACTTGAGACCCCAGGAGCTGGGGATGAACAAATTCTGCAGCGGAAATATAATATCACAACAAAAAACAACTGAAATGCCAGATTAAATGGAATGTTTTCAATTTTTCAAAAATTCCGGTTTAAGAAATTCTGATGTAAGAAATTGAAGTCTACACAACAGTGTGAATACACTTAATGCCACCACACACTTAAAAATGGCTGAAATGGTAAATTTTATGTTCATACTTTATCATAATAAAAAATAAGCTTATGACAATTTCTCAAAAAAAAGAAAAAAATCAGCAAAAGTAGTCAGGACTAATGTTTCTGTAGATTTTTTGAAAACACAAATTTCCCAACAAAATGCAAAGCAGTAACAAGCTGCACTCAGCTTTGGTGAATACCACCAAGCACGTAAGGACTATACAAGCCAACTGTGTACAAATTCTTCCAGAAAAGAGAGAAGAAAGAAAAATGCCCAAACTTAGGAGGCCAGCACTACCCTGATATCAAAACTAGACAAAGACATCCCAGGAGAAATACTGACCAATAGCATCGTGAATGGAAATTTAAAAAAAATCCTTAAGGTATTAGCAGATTGAATCCAGGAAAATACAAAAAGGATGACACACTAGGCCCAGCTGTGGCTCATCCAGGAGTGAAGGTTGCCTTAACGTTCTGGAAAAAAAAAAAATCAGTGTATTTTACTGTATTAACAGGACAAGAGAGAAAAGATAGCTGATCATTTCAATAGAGGCAGAAAAAGCACTGGACAAAACGCTTGTTCAGGAAACCATGAAAAGACAGAAACGTATCTGCACTTGTTAACAGCTGCCACTGCCCTCACTTGTGACTCCCCTTCTGTCAGAGACAACCCAGGGCATCCGCCAGAGCAGTAAGGAGACAAGGAAAGAAAAGTCAGACCCCTGGGAAAGTCAGATGTGATGTACGGTGTGAGCACAGGGCTCGGGCCTACCAAGTGTTTCTACAAGCCAGCAGGACAATTAGAAACAAAATACACGTCTATGTGACGTACTGATAAAATGAAAATAGGTAATTTGTTGGATTAGCATCAAAACCATGAAGTACTTAGGGACAGATTTAACAGGATGTGCCTAAGACCTGTACCCTGAAAGTCACGGAACTGCTGAGCACTCTAGCTAGGTCTTCCGGTGAGAGACACAGGTGTGTCTGAAGGTCTCAGAACTCACCGAATTGGATTCATTTCTGTGTAAACTACACCTCAGTGAAGTCCATTCAAAACAGCAGGAAACCACGGCCTGCAAGCGGGTGAGGGCCTGAGATTAGCGCTCACACACCCTGTGCTGTCCTGAGAGGCCTCCGTCCCCACGGTCCCCAGCTCGTGGTCTGGGGCTGCCGGGAAGGGGGAAAGGATGCACACCGAGACAGCTGCTGGAGGACGGGGACACTCAGGGCCCCGGGGCCAGGAAGGAGCACAGCGCCTGCCCCTGCCACGCTGAGGCCGGGAAGGGCCCCTCCACAGCGTCCTTCCTGCCACCCCTGGTCACACCTGCGCCTTGGACACAGGCCTGGTAGGTGGGGAGCTCGGGCAGGGACGGTCTGGGCTGGAATTAACTTTAAGCAGGAGAGAGAAACTGAACTGTAGCTGCAGGGGCCACGGGCCCAAGGGTTTTGTTTTTTTGGGTGGAAATGGAGCAGCAGGTCCGCAGGCTGCTGGGAATGAATAAGATGCCTGACAAGGGAAGCCGTGGTTCCAGAGCCGTGTGCAAGGCAGGCGTCCTGTGCAGGGTGAGGGGTGGGGGACAGAGGGCCACAGCCCTGGGGGAGGCGGGACGTGCAACCCCAGCAGGGTTCTGAGCCTCAGGCGAGGGCTCCAGGGGTGCTGGGGACTGCAGAGGCACTGGTCGGGGGCCAGGTGGGCCTGCCGGGCAGCACCCTGACTGCGTACGAGTCCAGAAAGATACCTGTCCCACCTTAGACCCAGAGGACAAGAGGTGTGGGGGACAGGGGCCACTCGAAGGCAGACGTGTCCAGGGAGAAAGCCAGCGGGCTAAAGCAAGGAGGTCAAGGACCCTGAAGCATGACCTTGGGTTCCAGAGGACACGGTAAGTGACCTTGGGTAGAGGGTGTGTCAGAAAGGGTGGCCTGAGGGGCATGGGGACGGTGCCACGGAGCCTGGTGCTGTGATCAGACGTCTGGGTCCCGGGGCACGCATGGGTGCGGGGCGGGGTGCTGGCTGATGCGGGGAGGACGGGAGAGTCCCCACTCACATCCATTTCTGCTGCTGGCGGCACAGGACCACAAGGTCCCTGTGGCACAGACACACTGGTCACCGCACACAGCGCACGGCTCGGCACTGACATATCACTGGAAATCTGACAATTCTCTATTTTTACCGTGTGTTTTTAAATAATCTGATTGGGTGGGGAAAGTGGACACAAAACAGAACTAAACCCAGCCCTTGAAATCTTGTATGTGAATAAAGGCAATACCGACACGCACTTGAACTAAACCTTAAAAACACAAAATACCTGATTTCATATCACAGCATCAGGTNGGGGGCCTGACCCAATCCCACAGGACTGACAGCTTTACAAAGGGCCTTACTGTTCTTCCACCTTGGTGAATCTTTTCTGCTTGCAAGATTCTTCCCGAGAAGGACAATAAGTTGGAGTCGAAGCTCAGACCCCAGTCCCGAAGTTCCCTCTGAACATTATCGTCCCTGTAAACAGATTCACAAAGCGTGAACGTGAGGACAGCACAGGCGCCTGCACAGCGGCCGCCCCAGCCCTCAGGGCCCACTCCCAGGAAAGTCCCTTTCAGTCACCCCATCTATGGCCCCCTCACCCCAGCCTTTCATTTAAAATGCTGATGCCCAAGCTATCTCTTCCTCATGTTATAACTGAGAGAGAAAATGGATTTGCCTCAAACTTTTCACTTTCATTTTATTACCTTTTTCTAATAGAAGAGTTAGAAAGGCCACGGCTGCCAAGTTTCATGTTACTATTCCCTGGCCAATAGCAGCCTCACTCAGGGACAGACATGAAGAACAAACCCCAACACTGCCACACGGAAGGAGCATGACACTGCTCTCTGCCACTCCCCAAGCCCCCATCAGCAGGGGGGCCCGGGAGCCACTCACTTGTGGATGTAGTCGATGAGCCGGCCCACCTCGCGCTGCCTCTGCTCCGGGGTCAGCCTCGTGTGCACCGCCAGGTCCTTCATCACGTTGAAGTCGTTGCGCATTTTGTCAGTGAGCCCTTTAAGGGAACAATCTGTGAGGTGGGGGCTGGTGATGGGGGAAAGGGTTGCAGCTCTGAGGGTTTTGGGGGGACAGAAGCGGGGAGGCTGTAAAGATGCTCCAGTGCCCGCTGGGACAGAGCAGCGGGCGGCCCCCCCGCTGTGGAGGCCGGAGGCCCGGGTGCCCACCTGTGAGGTAGCAGAGCTCCGGGATGAGCATGGCTGGGCCTGGCAGGCTGCCCCCAGGGCCCCTCCTCCGCTTGGGCTGGCTCACCAGCACTGGCTGTTTCAAGTCGGTGATTTCTTGGTTATATTGCTATTCGAGAGAAGAAAAGTATCGCTATTGACAGTAAACGCCTTTAGTAGTGACACGGCGATGGGCAAAACAGTTGGCTGCTTAAATTAAAGATGCCGACAGCAAGGCTGGTCTTACGAACACGGTGTGGATCCCACTACAACAGGCGGGAGTTACGTGCTCTTCTGCGCCCCCCTCCTGTCCTAGAATCTCAGACGGTCAAGGTCAGTAAAGCTCTAAGTTTTGACTTTTTGTCACAAGTTTTATTCGCTTCTTTTTTGATTTCTTGATTCAGAAGCAGGAGCCTGTGTAACTCCAGGTCTTCAGCTGGTGGAGTTCTCTGAACCAACTGGTGTTACAGTGAGAACTAGCCGAGAGGCTCCGCTCTGAGAGTACATGTGGGCAGGGCAGGGTGACAAGCCACGCGACATTCTTGATTAGAAAGTTTTCACAAAACAACACACTGAGGGTGAATTTCGGTTTCGGAGTATTAAGTTCCCCATCTTAAGGTTCCCACTGGCCACTGCCGTCTAAGGCGAGTTTGCACTAACGTCGAGGCCCCCGACTTCTAGTCAGAAACTGGTTTTCTTGCTACCATTTGCCTTTCTTTTTTTTTTAATTTAGTGATTACTGAGCCAAAAGCTAGAGTCATCTTTATAAAACCAGTGTTAGGAGACTCACCTGGGCCACAGGAAACAAGCCTGTCTGAAATGTCAACGTGTCAAACAAGCTCCGAGGTAACCTACCCACATTGGGACAGAGGGGACTCATGCTGGGGTTCGGAGAGCTTCACCTCACACCCAGGTGCCTTACAGAATAAGGGGCAGTGTGGGTAGCTATTAACTTGCAGTTCTTACCGCCTATTACCCTCCTGTTTGTCCTCCACAAGCTCAAGTTCAAACGTAATCTTTCGTTCTGTGAACGAGGAGGCAGGACAGGGCGCTTGTCATCGGCTCAGGAGCTAAAGTGGACTGTGCACAGTCGCCTGGTGGACACGTTTATACACAGCTTCGAAGGCCACGTGTTCCAAACGCTCGGTGCTGGGACATTCCTGACTCCTCGTGGGGCCCACGCCCTCCACGCCGGGACTACAGCCGGCACTGGCATCTCACCTTCCGGTAGTACTCCAGGAAGCTGACCTCCGAGCCGTCTGCTTTCTTGAAGGTGCTCTTGGGGCTCTGGTCCCAGTCAATGTCATCTACTCGGTATGTTTTGTTGTTATACCTGTGGGACAGTGGCATTCGGGGGTCTTTGGTTAAGATGGGTAGAAATATTGCAGAGGAAGATTTAACTAGACAGTGTGTTCTCTCTAGAAAGTGAAATTTCAAAGCATTTAGTGATATAGGATATTATGGAAAGGAAAAGGGGAAAGAATTTCTTAAAGACTATGCTGGGTGGACGGGGAAGTGACTAAATTACTATGAGAAAGCAAAGGAAACTAACAAGGGAAGAAGTCAGTAGGTATTTGTTCTTTTCAGATGAGGCTGTTCCCCATAGGCTTCGTCTTGGGAGGCTACCATCCCCCCTTTCCTGCCATTGCCGCCCTCCACTTGAAACCCCCCCCCTCCTAACACTGTAGGACTAGACAGCCAGGGTCTTAACATTTGCGAAAGGATTCGTTTGCATTTTAAACAGAAGTCTTACTTGGTAAGAACAATTAAACCGATTAGTTCTTTAGAAACTTGTTCTTGAAACTTGTGTTCTTCGGTTTGATGGTACAAGTTGAACATGAAGTCCAGCACAGTCTCGCTTCGAAGGACCTTGTGGCTCACGTCGGTGCAGAGCATGATGTTGTTCTCGTACTGAAGAATGGAGGTGGTGAAGCCCGGCCAGATCACCAACCTGTCAGACAGAACGGAGGCCAGGGGACCCTCACGCAAGGACGGCCTTGCGTGTTTCGCAAGTATCAAGTTGTTTTTTAGCTTTATGAATTGGGTCTAAAGTACAAAAGTTCTGATTGAGTCAATTTACTTATTTCAAGGTTTTACATGTTTCCAGAAAAAGACCTATTAGAGATTTTCAACAATGAATGCTCTTTTATAATAACTTGCTAAGTCCTATTTTAAACTAAAATACTAACTTTATTAAAGTGAGGGGAGAAGGAACACAAAGGTAGCAATAAGCTTCTGAGAGGAGTGTTCTGAACACAAGCTCAAATAGCACCTGAAAATCAAATGGACCCTGGCCTAAGCCTTGAAAAACTTGCCAATCTAACTGAAAGCATCTGAATTGCTGTGATTCACCTAAGCCATGTGGGCTGCACCCTTTTCCACTAGTAACGTTTGAAGCAGTGCCCGTTAGCTGGCGAGTGTGATGGCCTGAGGGCAGGCAGAGACCGTGTTAGGCGCGTCTTTCTGCTCTCCTGTGATTTTCACAAACCCAAGTATTCTGGGATGTCTCTATTGTCCACGCCAGGCTAAATGTCATGGGCGCCATTAATAGCCACATTGGAAAATTTGGTCATTTCAAATTTGAGCATCACTTTCAAAGTTTGTAACTAATAGAAATTCTCCACTTCATACAAACCTATGATTCGGAATATCAATTGGGTCACTTGGGTTATAATAATTCCGTCCAATTTGTTGCAAATTCATGATCTTCAGAAGCCTAGGGAATGAAAGGTCAGAACAGAGGAGTGAATATTGATCAGTGTTTCCAAGGCTGCGATCACAGTGGCGTGGTGTTTATGGCAGGGCTGACTGACGGGCCCCCAGTGGACTGGATCCAGCCTACCTGCTGCTCTGTGTCTGGCTGAGGGGCTACGAATGGCTTTTTACATTTTTTAAAGGTTGGAAAAAATCCAAAGATTACTGATGCATGAGTTATATGAAAGATCAGTGTCCATCAGCAGTTTTACTGGAACACAGGCATGGCCTTGCACTGACATGTGCTCTGTGGCTGAGACAGAGACCGGACGGCCTGCGAGCCCCACATGCTCACTGTCTGCCCCTTACAAAAGTCTGCCAACCCCTCATTTAGAGAAAAATTTAAGTTTGCTGATTACATTCATTCAAAACAGGTACCCACCAAAATGAATGTCCTGGCAT